AACCACCTGCTGTTAAGAGCAACACATTTGTGTGCCTTTAGAGGACAAGAAGGTAACATGAATGAAAAACCAGGCCAGGCCGGGGAGCAGAGAGATGTTGATAGAAGCATAAATACAAAACACAGCTTGCTTTTCTTTGAACTCTGCTCTGAGCATAGCAGCTGGACGAGCGCAGCGAGAAACGAGAAACGGCAGCTGAAGCCAGCCTTGTGTGCAGGGGCGGCCGGGAGCATCCTCCGTCTGCCTAGCTCTCTGTGCTGCCCAGCTCTCTGTGCACGCTCTGGGCTGCTAAATGTCTGCTTTGTCCAGAGAACCTGCAAATCTAGATTTTAATGTGATATCCCTTGAGCTTTTAAAAACATTCGTTGTAAAAAACACAGAGCATAACATTTACTATCCTAACCATTTCCAAGTGTACAGTTCAGTAACCTTAAGTCTATTCACGTTGTTGTGCAACCAATCTACAGAACTTTTTCATCTTGCAAAACTGAAACTCTATATCTGTTAAACAAAACCTCCCCATTCCCCTCTCCCTCCTGGTAACCATCATCCTACTTTCTGTTTCTATGAATTTGACTACTCTGGGTACCTCATATAAGTGGAATCATTTAATATTTGCCCTTTTGTGTCTGGCTTATTTCACTTAGCATAAGGTCCTCAAGTTTCATTCATGTTGTGTAGCACATGTCAGAATTTCCTTCCTTTTTAAGGCTGAAAAGTATTTCATGGTGTGTACATACCATATTTTGTTTATCTGCTTCTCCATGGTTAGACACTTGGGTTGCTTCTACCTTTTGGCTATTGTGAATACTGTTGCTGTGAACATGAGTGTGCAAATACCTGCATGGATTCCTGATTTTAATTCTTTTGAGTATAGAACTGGAATTGCTGGATCATATGGCAACTTTGTTTAATTTTTTGAGGAACCTCTATACTATTTTCTGTAGCATCTGTTATTTTACGTTCCCACCAGCAGTGCGCAAGGGTTCCAATTTTACCACATCCTTGCTCCTAGATTTGTAACGTTTTCATGTTTTTTCAAAATACCATGCAGACGCCCAATTCAGGTCAAGCAAACACTGTCTGTAACCTGGAACTGTCCTGTGGGTGGTGACAGGTGGCCACAAGCCTCTGGCAGAATGCATGCTCCTTAATCCTCACCAGCAAGGAATGGTTCTCGGTGGCATAACTTGTCAAGGATGATGTCTGCGCATCATGCAGCTCTGGGTGGGAGTGCCTCACCTCACCTGTCTTTGTGTAGTGAAGCAACACCCTAGCACCATAATCTGACAATAATATTTTCCTCTTAAAAGACATTTGATAGTAACAGAAAAAAATCAAAGGAAAATGAAAGATTTTGTGTTCTTGAGTTATTCTGGTTCATGATTACCCAGAACTCCTAGTCAGGCTCATGTAAGAAAAATGGTTTTTCCTCCTAGCAAAACCACATCACCCCCTTCTGCTGGTCTTCTGTAGATCTCAACTGAATTGCATCTGACAGTTGAGATGGCGGGAAAATGCCACCTCTCTATTCAATTTTCCAGTTTCCTTTGCCTAGAAGTCACATTTGTCATATCATCTGTAGCCTCATAGTGATAGAGCACAGTGTTGAATGATGGTTGTATGTCTGTTTGTTTGTTTTATCACCTGAGGAAAATGTGTACAATTTAGAAATACAGTCATGTACTGCATGACCACATTTTGGTCAACAATGAACTGCAAGTACGACCATGGTCCCGTAAGATTATCATGGAGCTGCCCTATACAGGTGTACCATTTAGTATCTTTTATACTATATTTTTACAATACCTTTTCTATGTTTAGATACAGAAATACTTACCATTGTGTTACAGTTGCCTCCACTATTGAGTACAGTAATATGTGCACAGGTTTGTAGCCTGGGAGCAATAGGCTGTACCATATAGCCTAGGTGTGCAGTAGCCTGTAGCATCTATGTCTGTGTAAGTGTGCTGTATGATGTTTGCACAATGACGAAGTCAAGTAATGATGCATTTGTTAGAATGTATATCCATTATTAACACATGACTGTAACATGGCGCTAGCAATCCCTTTTATACATTATCAGACTAAACTGGAATGCAGGACAAGCTCAACGGCAGGTAGAGGAGATCAGTGCTTATAACTCTCTGTCCTTGGGTCTGCTTCATGGGCCATCAGTATTCCCAAGAAATAGCATTTCCTATGATGAAGGAGAGCCAGCACTTAGAAAACTATTAATATTTAAGGGGACACATATATACAGTTCCAGCTGGGGAGTGCTATAGGAAAAATGTCTGTTTTTGATTTGATGGGCTGTGCTTATAGAAAGGAGGTTTCTAGATCTTTAAGTCTTTCCTTTATGAGGTAGCCATATATAAAGTTGGGCCTCTCAGAGATCTACTGAACAGAGTCATGGCTGGCCATGATTGCAACACATTGAAGGTATTAAATCATTTAAATGATGTCCAGTTCTGTAAAGATGAGATTGTAAATGCGACTGTATTGCCTTCCTGGGGGGTCAGTGCTGTTGTATGTGGTTCACCATAAACAGTCACCAGGTGAAGTCTCAGAGGAGCCTCTTCACTGCTGTAAGGAAGAAGGGGGAGGGGGGATGGGAGGGAGGGAGGGAGGGAAAAAGGAAAGAAAGGAAGGGGGGATGGAGGAAGAGAGGGGTAGGAGGGAAGGAAGGAAAGAAGGAATGAAGGAAGAACCTAATTAAGTGAAGAATGTATAAAGTGCTTTATGTGTGGTGCTTTATTTATTCCTTCCTTTACAACAACCTTGTGAAGTGGGCTTTCATCTCTGTTTTACAAAAGAGAAAACTAAGGCTCAGAAAGGTTAAGTAACTTGTCCAAGTTGTATAGCTAGTAAGTGGTTGGTCTGGGATTCAAAACTAGGCTAAGTCTCTTTGCACAGAACTTCCCTGCTGAGATGGTGGTTGGTGGGTCCTTAGTTTATATAAACAAGACCAAAGAGGTGATACCATCATCTAAAGATACTTAAGATAATCTCTACTCTTGCCCCTACTCTGACACTGGTTTTTCTTCTCTGGAAGATAGCATTGGTCCATATCGTTTGGAGGAAAACCTAATAACTGCCTGGACATGTGGGGGTGTAGAAGAAGCAAACTCAAACTATTTAATCTCAAATTTTGAAGGCTATAGGGTATTAACACTAAAACATTTTAAAAGAAAGATAGATTTTAATCTCTACTACAGAAAAGCATAAACATTCATGCACAATCCAAAAGCAGACCCAATAGCTTGCTAGCCACCAGCAGTTTCCCAAAGATGATATCCTTCTGCCAAAAATATCTTACTCCACTTGTTTCACCCTTTAGATATTTGCGAACTGCTGTCATGGAATTTTCCTCTAGATTGAGAATTGCCTTTTAAAAAAAGAGGGCATAAAATGGATCCTGATGGTCTGGTCCTGCAGGCAGAATTCAGTCTTCACTCATACTGAATGGTTAGAAAAATATCAGTGATATGCCCAGGACACTTGCTTTTTGTGTATGTTTATGGTTTTGTTTTTTGTTTTTTTGTTTTTGGATTAGTGAGGGTAAGGTGGGTATGGTGCAGAAAAGAAGAGTTTGGCCTGTACAGATAGGCACAGGATTCTGTCAAGATGATGTTTAATTCCACTTCAGTTTCAAGAAGCATCTAACCCATCACCATAGAATCTAGTAATGTCCTTTTTCAAAAAGCCCAATTTCACTTGATGCCTCAACTATTCCTTCATAGAATACTGCATACTTCAGTTTTATTCCACTGTGGCCAGTGTCCTTTATAGCCCTTCTTAACTTTCTGGCAGAGAGCAATGTGGCAGTGTTAGGTATGATCCCAAAGCCATAAAGACTTGGGATAATTTCATTTCTCTTGACCCATCGTCCCCAAACATATGTTTATGGTAACATCCAATCAGGTACAAGCCAAGAATTCGTTTTTCTCTCAAAGCTATTTCGAGTGGCAATAAAACAACATACTTAACAAAGTTCTGCTTTGCCTGTGCCAGATATTGTCCGTTCATATAGCGGCTTCATAAAATCGCCCGGGGTTGCTGAGCCGAATGCATGTGGCTCCCTCATTGCTTTTGAATCAGTGGCATTCTAATCTGGTGGGATAGTTTTACCAGTAACGTGCTCCGAATGTGTTTGCTCGTTTATCCATCATCCTCCTGGGAAGAACTGCGTTTGTCATGGTGCCTTTAAATGTAAAGAGTTCGAGTTTATAAAATTGAACTGTATTTCAGCAATGCTTCTTTTTATGAGTGTCCTTCATTTCATTAAGTTGTTAGTTTTAAAACCCAAAACAACATGAATAAATATTAATTATTATTCAGATTAGGTTAACCTGTGTCTGTCAGGTATTCATAAAAGATAGTTATCTCCTTAGAAATAATTGATATTAGATTTGATTTGATATAGATGTTATCAGATTTTATTACCTAGAGAAAAAAAATCCTGTTTAGTTTGCCCAAAACTAAGCCTGCAGTTTTGCAAAACTATACGAAATACATATATATGTATTGTATGTATGTACTTAGTATAATGTATATAGATGTTAGAAACTTCTTACTTTAGCAGTGGAAGGATTCTATTATAGGCCCTGTCATGTGGTAAAGCAATGTCAGTTAAATTAGGAATTTGTTTTTATTCTGCAAGCTTTTCTAAGCCCAAATTCCCATTAGTTTCAATGAGACTTTCATGTATAAATGGACTTTTATAAAAAAGTAGACTGGACTCTTTTTCCCAAGGGCTTTCCTCCACTGCATGCATTACTGTTGTCCCTTTGTGTATCATGAGTGTGAATTACTTTCATGGCTTTTGGCCATAGCCAAGGTAACCTGAGCTTGCTTCCCAGCCCTAATAATAATTATGTCCCATATAATAATAATAACTGGTATTATTATTATCTTTTCTCCTTAGTAAAAAAGTGATTGGGCCCATCTAAAAAGGACTGGCTGCTTCTTTCTCTGATTCACATTTTCTTGTGTTGCAGAGTGGCTGTGAAGCCCCTCCCCTCCAGGGACAGGCTGCAGCTCCAGGGAGTGGGAACGGAGCTGATTCTGAGCCGGCTCGCCACGTCTTTTCCTTTTCCTGGTTGAACTCCCTAAATGAATGACGTTCATTCCAACTGCTGCTCCCGTGTCTGCCTGGCTGAGATGCACACAGGCGGCAGGGAACCTAGGCGAAGTTAATATGATGCAGAGAATGAAAGGGACCCCTGAACAGGATTTCTGCCAAACAAAACCAAACCCACAACTTTTAATTCCAGATGACTTCCCTAACACTTTGAGGAAGAAGAATACTTTGGGAAAATAGTTGCAGAAAACACTGGAAAAAAGAAACATGAACTTATGCAAATCTTTCATGGTGTGGGAAACACTATTAAGGATGTGTAGGTGTGGTATGTGTGTGCGTCATAAAAAGTGGCAAATGTTGAAAAAAGTGGGCACTACACTCTTGTCCTAATAGGCACTGGCTTTTTGTGATTATATCATAGTAGCTCTTATTTACTTTCCTCTTTGACAATGCAGGTGGTCAGTGAAATTCAGTGTCAATTCAGAAGTGACTGATTTATCAATATATGGACAAAAGGTAAATCATTGACCAAAGCTATGAAATGTTTCACAAAGTTTTCCTCTTTTTCATAATAGATATCATGGGATGGTATATCCAGAAATGTTCTTTGAATTTGGTGACACTTTCATAGTCCAGAGGCTGAAGGCCTAGGACATCTCTTGTGATACTTTTCTAGTCTTAGTTTTAGATAATATTAGGCATTTAATGACAAAGGCCTTTCAACAGGAACTGTCTACTTTCTCATGTATCTACTGTGGCACCAATCTGGTAAATTATAGAAAAACTGCATGTATTTAAATGTGTGTACACATACATCACACATTAAAAATATATGTATATTTAAATCATGCTTAATTTGTCTCACCATAATGCCTCCTTCAGAACATAAGTCTAACTTTACTCTTTATGAAATCTTAAATAAATGCTGTTTTTAAAAACTTAGTCTTATGACTTATTCAGTGTTTCATATTATCTTATTAATTTATTAGTTATTTATATTTCAAGGGTCCCAAGGGAAGAAACAAAATTAATTTTGAAGTATTAAACAATTAATTGAATTTTTTAGAACTATAAACTACCAGAGGCAAATGCATTGTAAAACTAATTAGATATGCTGTTCAGTTTTAGAAGTGAATAAAGATTGTTCATGTTGCTCAAAGTGATAAATGTTGGCATAGACATAAATGTGGAGGGTATTTGTGTAGTTATTAAAATCAAAATGTTCCTTATAAGAAAATTTTTCCCAAGTGCCATTTTATAACAACTAAATTTAGTTTTCTGAAGTGGAGATGCTATCAAGTTTCTCCTATTAGAAGTAGTCATTGGAAAATAGCTTAGAAAAAAAGGTTTTTTTATGGCACCAAAGTAGTAGTTTGATAAAAAATGAATCTTTCTCATAGAAAAAAATGCACCATTTTGGCCATACAGTTTGGAGGAATGCCTGCTTTGACACCTCTGTTTTCATCTTTCCCCACTCTCCCCAGTTATTTCACATCTTACAATCAATCAGGGTTAAATGTTATTTCCATTATAAATTGATCTTTCCTTTATAGAATTACCAAGTTTTAGACGTGGAAGCAACTTCCCAAATTATTTAACTCAACCTCAGAGTAATTGTCTGAAGTGTAGAGAGGAGCCCCAGGCAATTGCACAGTCTGTGTGAGCCACTGACACATGTTTGTATTTTCAGTAGAAAATAAAATGCGGGAAGTTTTGTTTTGTTTTTTCCTTGTGCTGAGGACAATTGGGAAGAAGCTAAGAGCTGAGAGTATTTCCAGTGTATGAACATTGAAGAGGAAAAATAAAGTCACAATTACCTTTGCAGCTTTTATTAAAAATATAAATATCCAACATTCTCTTACACAACCAAACTGACCAAGGATTGGAAAGATGTTTTATTACTGAAACGTTTACAAGAAAAAGTTGATTCAAAGAGCTTACAGATTTTGTCTTAACCCACCCAAGAGAACGGCATTCTCTTTGGCTCAAACAACAACAAAAACAATTAGGTGCCTTCTGTCTGCTTCTTCAAAACGTGTCTTCCCGGATCTACCTTCTCTTTAAAACACCACTAAAAGACACCTGGAAGTGGAAACTAAAAGTAGACGATACAAATAACATTGTGTTGTTACTGCACGTGAATACACTTTGTGCATGCTAATTAAGGGGGATAGGCTCTCTCCCTGTACATCCTCTATGTTTCAAGCTATATAAAAATAAACAAATGGTATCAGAGCAGCGCTATAGTACAGAATACTGTAATTTTTTTTTAATTTTTTTGTGCTAAATGCAGAATCTTTTTGGCCAAACGCACCGATTCACTTTCCAATGATCTCCATCAGTTTCCTGTTGCTGTGAGCTTGCTGCGCTAACTGCTCGGCCCTGGCCATTTCCAAGACTTCCCGGAGGAGGTGGAAGGTGAGATCCAGGGAGATGGGCGGCTCCTCCGACCGCCTCTCCCTCTCCGGTGCCTCCTGGTGGCCGCCGAGGGCGCTCTCGGCGCCGCGCTCCGCGAGAGCCGCGGGGCTGTCGAGCGGGCGCCGAGGCGGCAGCAGCTGCTGCAGCAACACGCGGAAAAAGTTGGCGGCCGCCTGGTCCGGCGCGGGGCGGCCGCCGCTGCCGCCGGCGAGGAGCGAGGGGGCGGGCGGGACGGCGGCGGCGTTGGGGCTCTTGTGGAGGCTCCCCAGGCGCAGGAAGTACTCCTCTCCCATGCGGAGCAGGACGGGCCGAGGCTGCGGCCGCTGGGGCTGCTGGAGCTGCTCGGGCTGCGGCGGCGGCTGCAAGAAATCCAGGCGCTGCGGCGACTGCGGAGCCTGCCGGGCGCCCGGGGCCGGCCCCCTGCTGAGGAGGGCCCCGCAAGGCGGGCAGGGCAGCAGGGCCACCAGCAGGACGCCCGCGGACACGAGCAGCGGAAGCCGCATGTTAGGGGCGCTCGCTGCGGCACAGAGGTGGGCGCGGGCAGAATGAGAAGGGAAGAGAGAAAGAAAGAGTTGGTCAGAGTTTATAGCTCAACTGGGAGGTGCCCCGGGGTCTTCCTACGGGACCCCCCAGACGCGCCGGGCTCGGGCCTCCGGGGTCCGGGCGGGCGCTGTCCGCGGTGCTGAAGCGCCTGGGGAGCGGGGAAGGGGACGTCCGCTGCGCTCCGCACCAAAGCCCTCGCACGGCAGGAGTGACCCTTCTTTGGAGACCCCAAAGGGACGGTCCCTGAGTCCTCTACTTAAAGGTCCCCAAAACTGATACCCCGAGCCCAGAGAAAAGCCACAAATGTAAAGTCTCACTCGTGCTGACCAACCCCCTTCTGGATATTTCAGCATTTTCTATCAAATTGAGACTGCCTCCTCCTCCTCCTCTGTCTCCGTCCCTACCCTTGCTTCCTTCTGGGGTGGGGGTCAGTCTATAGATGGGGGGTTCTTTATGCAGCCAGCGAGGAGCAATTTGCTGTTCGGGTAACTATGAGCAGCCGTCTAAGTTTGCTTTTGCCACATCCCAGCCGCTACTGGCATCTTGAGGCACCGTCCACGCACACACACGCACACACACGCCCGCACAGGGGCACGGCGCGGCGGCCCAGGCCGCGCAAGCCCCGCGCGTTCCGTCCAGGCGCTCCCTACCTTCCCCGGCGCTTCGCAGGTGAGCCGGGCGCCGCCGCCTCTCTGCACAGGGACGTCTCCGGCTTTCTCTGGAGGTTTTCTTTCCTTCTCCTTTCTGTCTCCCTCTCTTTCTCTTTCTGTCTTCTCTTTCCCTCCGGTCCCTCAAGAGACTTGGGCTCCGAGTTTCTCCACACCAGAGCCTGGAGTGGGATTTTATAGCGTCGACCCTCTTCAGAAAGCACGCAGCATCTGCCTAATAAGCTGACGCTCTCTTGACAGCTCGATTGCGTGCTGCCTCTGCTCCTGCATAAATCATAGGGCCTGCCAAGGAGCGAGGGGCAGAATTTTGCTATCTCAACACTGAATCTCACATCCAATTATATCAACAGATATTTATCGCCTTTTTGGTGACGTCAAAGAGCCCTAAAATGGAAGGGCTTCTTATGACTTGTCCATTGACAAAAATTCTTGAATGAAATTTCCCAAGTGTGAAAACATACTGACCTCTTACTATGAAAGGCCAAAATAGAGGCTGGAAAAGAGACAGCAGATGAAAGGAGGAAGGGAAGTGGGAAGGCAGGGAGGTCTACCAGTGCAGTCCTGCCAGGAAAGCAGTGACAGGGAGTGGATCTGGATCCTCCCTGTCCCTCTCCCTTCTAACCTCTCTGGCCGGCTGTCTCTGACTGACAGTGTCTGAAAATACCCCCTTGCTAAGGACAAGGAGTGCCACCATCTTTCTGCCTGGAGAAGAATGAGGAGCCAGGAGGTGGGAATGCAGGGACATTCAGCTTTTAAACTTCTCTCTGTTTTTTCCTCCTAAAAGCAGATAAAGGAATTATGAATCCACAACAACAAGACCAAAAAGTCTCTTAAAAAGCAGCTCAAGTTTTTCAAATGATGACAAGCGCTACTGCAATGATGAAGGGGCACAAACCAGGGTTAATCAGGGGCACGGCAAGGATTTCAGGTTGTTTCAGAATTTCACTATTCCTCCTTTGTCTCTCCTCTCAGAATCTGAAATTGTGGACTTTTCTATTCCTAAACTAAAGATAGAGAGGAACAGTGAGAGGTGCATAAGTTAAACAATCTTTTATTTAGCCTACTCAATGCAAACCCAGTGAGAGAGGCATTCATTCTAACTTCCTATTTTATGTTTATGTTGCAATAGGCTTGCACTGCTTGACAACAAGGCTGAATTCATTCAGTCACATATTTTCATTGATGAATATTGAGTCTGCAAAAAGGTAATCTCATTCATTTCACCTTCAAATACTATCAACATCCATGATAGGATTCCTATCAGGGGCACTCAGCATGTTATTTTTTTTATCATTTCTATTTCCAAATTCAAATGTGCTCCATGTGAGCTTAATAAATAAATAAAAGCTCTCCGGCACTACCACAGAATGGAATGCTAAGCCTACAAAACCACACCCAAATTTTGAATTAAATTGACACTAACATATAGGTGGGAGGCAGTTACCTTTAATTCTGCAATTCAAAATGCAATTCCAAACTCTGGTGTCTGTGATTCAATTCAGCTTCCAGATAACCATCAGAGTTGTTTATCAGAAATTTTCTATTCCTCATTTCTGGTTACCTCTGCTGCTTCCTTTGTAGCTGATGTGACAAATGATGCAATGCATATTTCAACTCCTATTTTGGGTCTATACCAATCCACAACTGCTCTTAGAAACAAAAGGAAGGCAGGGAGAGAAATGCTGACAGTTTTCAGAAAAGCCAGCCCATAGTTGGATTGCTGCACTGTATATTATGTACTTTTGACATAGAGAACAGAAAAATAAATGTGCCTACTGGGAAAGATATGAGTTGTTAATGGAAGATCATGATTATGAAAAATGGTTGAGCTTCTAGAGGAAAGCTGCATTTACATTGGTAGGAAGGCATATAGAACTTTAGTTTTTGTTATTGTAGGCTTTTTTTTTAAAGTAGAAACAGATCTCAATGTTTTTGCTTACTTTACTTTATGACCCCTTTTCTGTCTCCGTTAGCAGATTTCAGCTTGCATGTCAATCTGGAGATGAAAAGTTGATTTGGAAGCAGAAGTTGCAGTAAATGGGCACAGAAGAGGACCTAGGAAAGGGATAGAACTATGTGTTTAGCTGGGGAGGTCTGGGGGGATCTTCCAGAGAATTCATACAAGTTGTGAGCTCTGACTAACCTATTCAGATCTCTCTCCCATTGCACCATCTGGAAGATGTTGTTTGAGTATAGCTCCACATCACTGTTGAGTCCTTGCTGTGAAGTTCTCCTGGAGTAGGTCATTGGTGGGACCAAAGTGGCTCCAGTTGGGGTTAAGGAACAAAAGTCCTAAATCCCAGAGGAGGAAGATCCCTACTCACCACAGTTTATCAAAAGTTAGATCTCATTAAATCACCCAAATGTTCACATTAGAAATGACTTGAAGCAATCACTTGGTTTAAATAAGAACCAGAAAGGTTAAGTGACTTACCTAAAGTCACTCAGTTAGTTGTGGTAAAATCAGAATTAGAACCCAGTTCTTTTGATTACCAGCCCATATTACTTGCATAATGTAGCAATACCTTTTGAACTTCCTCTTCTAGCAGAGGCACATGAACAAATTGAGGTGAGAAGATGAATTTAGATATAGCAACATATTCGCACACCAATCCTGGGGTACCTTTTCTTAGACTTTCCTTATATTGGTTAAATCTCCTAAGACATGAGAACACACAGATTCTCTCTGCATGCTGATGTCCCTGGCACCTGATTTTAAATCTCTGTGTGCACACTGCACTTTACCTTTCAGCCACATCTCGTCATTATTACATAAGGGTTTTAAATGTATTATCAATTTAAAATGTATTCATTTGATTGTTTTACCTTAAGTGACTTTGGAAAAAAGTAATCTTTTGATAAAGTATAGAGGATAAGAGAGGGTCTTGAAGTTACGATATAGATCTGTGACTGGAGAAATAACACAATGCAAAGGACTTATATGTGCAGTAATCTAAATACCCAGGTCCATAAAAATCACCACTGACAGATCTGATCTTACATGTAGGAGTAACTTCTTGAAGGAGTCATTAGATAACCAATTTAAATGCCTTTAGAACTCAGAAACACAATCCAACAAACATGGGCACAAGAACAGGGATTATTTCATGTTTGAAATCATATTTTTAATAACATAATATAGGGTATAGGTATATTTAAATAGACATGGTACAACAGTCTAATTAATGAAGAAATATCAGAAATAATAAACAACTACTTGGCATATTTCTGTCACCTGTGGTCTGCTTGTACCTTCACTTGTTTCTATCAGCAAAGCTCATGGCAAACAAGTACAGTCTCCAGGTTTGCTGACTGAAACATTTGTTGAAATGAATCTACCATCTGAAATGACAGGCTTCAAAAATGTCTAGGGTGGACATGTGGTATGGTAATTGCTTATAACTGCTCTTTAGATAGATCAGTAGCTGCCTTCTGCTTCTACAGGAGGGCTAGGGAACGACTCCTGAATAGCAAAATATCTAACTGCTAACTGTAACAACTTTTATTCTTCTCTTCTGATTGTCAAAGCCAAACATTCTCATTGTAGAAAATTCAGAAAAATTAGAAAAGTATAAGGAAGAATACAAAATTACTCAGATTACCAGAACCTAAAGATAGTCACAGTTATTATTTTGTTTTTGAGTATTTTTCCTGAGCTCATATATTTTATGTAATTGAAATAACACTGTGTTCCTAGTAGTGAATGTCTGATTTAAAAAAAAAAACCTCTTATTTTAAAACTTAAAAGTAATTAAGAGAGTAAATTTTAAATGTTTTCACCACAAAAAAATAGTATTGAGGTAATGAATATGTTAATTAGCTTCATTTAGCCATTCCACAATGTACACATATATCAAAATATGTTGTACACCATAAACATATACAATTTTTAGTTGTCAATTTACATTAATTAATCTATTAATTACAAAGTAATTTGTTGAAGGAAACTTTCCCAGATTCCTAGATTAGGTTTAGGACCTGTGCTTTATATTTTCCTAACATCATGAATGTCCTTCACCATAAAGCTCACATTTTGTTATAAGTACTAGTACAATGTGAATCTTCCTTGTTGGACTACTAGCTGTTTGGCAAGGCCTCAACTGTCTTTCTAAGTTGCCATATCCATTTCTTTGGCCCAAATCATGGTAGATGCCCACTAAGCTCTTAAATGAATGAAGTACAGAAAATCTGTTGAATGAATGAAGTATGGAAAAATTCCCCATAAGGTTATCATCGAGAAATAACTAAATAACATTTTAACTAAAACTTTATAGTCTACTTTTTTCCACTAAAAATTATATCTCAAACATTTTTCTATATCTAAATTATCTAAATGCCTTTGTTTTTTTACTGCACAGTACTCCATCAAGGAGCTATGCCAAAGTTTCTATTCATTTCTCATTTCTCATCCCTAAGGACCTGCTTTTTGGTTTCTTGTATATCTTACCATTCCACCTTTAAGTAACACACCCACAGAATTATTCCCTGATCCTTCAAATATAAACAATATCTCTTAACTCCCAGATTGTGAGATGAAAATATTAGTGTCCCTTCAGTTTTTCATGTGTAGTACCCTCCTGTACCTTGATCTCCCAGTTTCTTTCATCTATACTTTTACTTCTAGGTTGTCAGTGTTAATTTTTTATAATCATAGTTAAGTTTTCTGTGCTTTGACTGTAGATCGTTTCTAAAAGTTGTAAATCAATATAATTTTTAATATTGACTATGTAAATTATTCATTGCAGAATAACATCATAGACTCTGGTTATAGTTCCTTTCTCATTTTTGTCTTTTTCTATGATAACCAATTGACATTTTTATATTCCCAGTTTTGTTTTTTCCTAGAATTATGTCTTAATTTTTCCCCATGTTTTCAGATTTTCAATCATGATAAGTAATCTATCAGGTCCTTCCCCTCTTTTTAACACCTCTCTCCTTGAGTGCTGGAACCTGCTGCTTTCAAACCAGTTACTTTCCAAATCTGGTGCACAACTGTCTTCCTGGAATTTCTCTTTTCTGCTTTCCTGGATTGAATTCACTGTCCAGAATCACATGATTTATTCCTTCTTTATTTCTGCATTTTATTTTGCTAGGGAACATCTTCAGATAGCTTTCTAAAAAAGGATTTATATGACAGGTGCATTTTCTGATTTTTTGCATTTCTTAAAATGATTTTATTTTATTCATATGCTTTCATGATACTTTAGCAAGATGTGCAGTTTCAAGTTAAAAATAATTTTCCTTAAGTAAATAAATACTTAAAGCAGAACTTTAAGTATTGATTCCTTGTGTTGTATTATCCAGTGCTGCTGATACAAAATCCAATGTCATTCTGATTCTCATTTCTTACAGGGCCTTTTTATTTTTCTTATTCTGCTATGAAGCTTTTAGTTTCTTCTTTTTGTTGTTGATGTTATGAAAATTTGCAATGGTCTTTAGGTCTGTTTTTCATTTACCCATTTTAATTTGGAGACTCTTAACTCTTCAAGTGTGGAAAAATCTCTTGTATTATTTCTATGATAATTTCTTCCATTTTCTCTATTCTTTCTTTCTGGGTCATCTGCTATGAGTTGTTACTCTTCTGTTGGTCCTCCATGTTTATTACTTTCTTTTTCTTTTAGAACCTTTTGTTTTGGGTTCTACTTTTTGGGAGGGCTCTTAAATATCTAGGTCATTAAATATGAAATGTCCAATTTTGAATCAAAAGTGTAGTTTATTATATCTCAGACAAGAAGCAGTACAATTAATCAAAGTATGCACCTAAGTTATCAACAGAGTTTTGTCACTTTAATGGTAGCTTGTTTATGCCAGCAGTGAACAAACCTGGAGAGCAAGTGGCAATAAAATCACAAAAGATGTTTTCCACAGTTTCTTGAGAATTGAATATTCTTCCTTGCAAGAAGTGGTCCAAAGCCTGGAAGAAGTTGTAGTCAGTTGGTGCAAGGTCTGGTGAATATGCTGGATGACAGAGTTTTTCCAAGTCCAGCCTCTGTAGTTTGAGCAGCATTGTTTGTGGCACATGTGGTAGAGTGCTGTCTTGCAGGATAATTAGCCTATCTCTGTTGACCAATCTCAGATGCTTAATTACAAGCATCCTCATCAGTTCATCCAGCTGGTTGCAGTAGACATCTGCTGTAGTCGACTCACCAGGTTTCATGAAGCTGTAGTGGATAATACCAGCGCTGGATCACCAAACAGACACCATGAGCTTTTTATGATGAATGTTTGGTTTTGGGCTGCATTTTGCCACTTAGTCTTTATCCAAACATTGTGTCAAATGCTTGCGATTGTCAAAAGGAATCCATTTTTCATCACATATAACAATATGGTGTAGAAATGTTTCACTTTTATGTCGTGACAGCAAAGAAAGGCAAGCTTTGAAACTATTTCTCTGCTGACATTCATTTAATTCATGCGGAACCCATCTATCCAGCTTCTTTACCTTTTCAATTTGTTCAAATGGT